CCCCAAAACCCCAAAACCCCAAAACCCCAAAACCCCTTTTTAATAATTTTTTGGCTCAAGTTATAAAATATTCTCTAAATTTCTGATGGAGTCTCCACTTGAAGACAATGAAGAGAGAAGGTTAAATAGAGTAAGTATTATATTTGTTTGGTTCTTTTATAAGCATCGCAAGGGTGTGTGGAATAATACTTTATTAGATAATAAGCACTTTTTTAAGATTGATTTGGAGATAGTTACCCAACAATAGTTAAAGCATTTATATAGGAGAAGGGAGAATGCTGTTGTGCTGGGATAGTTATTGCTTACCATTTTATTATTGGCTGCCTCCTTTTTATGTGCTATGGAGCAGATGTTAATGAGAAACACATTGGAATTCATGCTAAGTTTTTGGTGCTCTTCACTGCTTGTATCAGAATTGCTGTTTTTATACCATATATTATGTTGATGCTATGCCTCATGAAGAAAAGATATATTTCCCTCTATGTGTGCCGCCTCTCTTCCTACTTCTTGCTTTTCTTGTATTTCCCTTGGGCGGTTTATTTGGTCATTAGATTTTTTGGAGATGATAATCACACCAAACATGAAGCTGGATTTTTGTACGCAGCCTTGCTCTTCCTAATGATTGAGGGAATGATGATGATCTTCTTTGCTGTTCTGTCCATCCTTATTATTATAGTGATTAGTTGTCTTTTATGCTATATCTACAGAAGACAAGCTGAAATTGAACATCAACAGGCTGAAAGAAATGCTATAATTGCAGATTTTATTAATAAAATCGATATATTAAATGTGACAGGAGAGAGGTTCGCAGATAATGATTGCTGCTGAATTTGCTTAGAAAATTATTCCGATAAACACAGAACAGTTATTCAGATTCCATGATCTGGTCCTCACTATTTTCATAAGGAATGCATAATTCCATGGATTAGGAATTAAGAACTCTTGCCCAATTTGTAAATCCGAAATTACTATTGATGACTTAAATGATGCAATTGCTGAAAGACAAAAAGAATCGCAAGACTATGGTACTATGGAAAGAGAACACCTAAGAGAGCCTGAAGAGACTAAAGAAGATCCTCATGATCCAGAAGGAGGCCACACCGCTTGGCGTGATGACTAAGGATAATATTGGTTGGCCGATATCAATAATTTCAATTACGAGAAAATTGGAAGGGGTTTTGGGGTTTTGGGGTTTTGGGGTTTTGGGGTTTTGGGG